AGCTAGTTTTTTGAAAAGAGAAGCAAAATTGATAAACCTTTAACCAGACTCAAGGAAAAGAGAAGACCCAAATAAATAAAATCAGAAATGAAAGAGAAATATAAAAAAAACTGACTGCACAGAAACACAAAGGATTAAAAGAAAATCCTGAAAGCCATTATATGTCAACAAATTGGATAATATGGAAAAAATGGATAAATTCCTAGAAACATACAATCTTCCAAGACTGAGTCAAGTACATATAGAAAATCTGAACCAATTGATTACCATCAATGAAATTGAATCAGTAATCAAAAAACTCCCAACAAACAAAAGTCCTAAGACAGATGGCTTCACAGGTGAATTTTACTAAACATTCAAAGAATTAACACCTATTTTTCTTAACTATTCCAAAAAATTCAAGAGGGAAGGCTCCCAATCTCATTTTATGAGGCCACCATTCCCCTGGTTCCAAAAACCAGAGAAGACATTACAAAAAAGAAAATTAGAGGCCAATATCCCTGATGAACATAGATACAAAAATCCTCAACAAAATATTAGCAAACCTGAATTCAGCAGTACATTAAAAATTTCATATACTGTGGATTTATTCCTGAGACACAAGATTGGTTCAACATCCACAAATCAATTAACGAGATATATCACATTAACAAACTGAAGGATACAAATCATATGATCATATCAATACATGCAGAAAAAGCTTCCATTTCTGATTAAAACTTTCAGCAAAGTGGGAGTAGAGGAAACATACCTCAACATAGTAAAGGTCATATATGACAAACCCACAGCTAACATCATACTCAGAGAGGAAAAGCTAAAAGCATTTTCCTTAAGATGAGGAAAAAGAAAAGGATGTCTACTTTCACTATTTTTATTCAACATAGTATTAGAAGTCCTAGCCATAGTAAACAGACAAAAGAAATAAAGGACATTTGAATGGGAAAGGAAGAAGTAAAATTGTCATTATTTGCACATGACATGACCCTATATAGAGAAAATCCTAAAGATTCCACCAAAAAACTGTTAGAACTGATAATGAATTCAGTAAAGTAGCAGGATACAATATTAATATTCAGAAATGGGTTACGTTTCTATATACCAATAATAAAATATCAGAAAGAAAAGTTAAGAAATCAATTCCATTTACAATTACATCGATAAAAATATAATACTTAGAAATAAATTTAACCAAGGAGGTAAAAGACCTGTACTTGGGAAATTATAAGATGTCGAAGAAAGAAATTGAAGAGAATACAAATAAATGGAAGCAAATAAACAGAACCATAAATGGAAGAATTAACATTGTTAAAAAGTCCATACTACCCAAAACAATCTATAGATTCAACGCAACCTCTATCAAAATACCAATGGCATTTTTCACAGAACTAGAACAAATAACCCTAAAATGTATATAGAACCATAAAAAAAAAACCCGAATAGCCATGGCAATCTTGAGAAAGAACAACAAAGTTGGAGGTATCATACCACCTGATATCAAACTATACTACAAGGTTGTATTAATCAAAACAGCATGATGGCATAAAAACAGATACATAGATCAATGGAACAAAATAGACAGCCCAGGAAAAAAATCCATGCTTCTATGCTTAATCTATAACAAAGGAAGCAAGAATATACAATGGGATAAAGACAGTCTCTTCAATAAGTGGTGCTGGGAAAACTGGACAGATACTTGCAAAAAAAAATGCAACTGGACCATTTTCTTATACCACATATAAGAATAAACTCAAAATGGATTAAGGACTTAATTATAAGACCTGAAACCAAAAAACTCCTAGAAGAAAATATAGGCAGTATACTCTCTGACATTGCTCTTAGTAGTATTTTTTCTGATATATCTCCTTAGGCAAGGGGACCAAAAGAAAAAATAAACAAATGGGACTATATCAAGCTAAAACATTTTTACACAGCACAGGAAACTATCAACAAAACAAAAAGACAACCTACTGAATGAGAGAAGATATTTGCCAATGACACATCTGATAGGGGGTTAATACCCAAAATTGACAGAGAACTCAGATAACTATATATTAAAAAACAAACAATCCAATTAAAAAATGGGCAAAGGACCTAAATAGGTATTTTTCCAAGAGGACATTCAGATAGCCAATAGATGTATGAAAACATGCTAGACGTTACTAATCATCAGAGAAATGCAAACTAAAACCACAATGAGATATCACCTGACACCTGTCAGAATGGCTATCATCAATAAATCAGAGAACAGTAGCAAGTGTTGGCAAGGATGTAGAGAAAAGGGAACGCTCATGCACTGTTGGTGGGATTGAAAATTGGTATGGCCACTATGGAAAACAGTTTTGAGGATCCTCAAAATATTAAAAATAGAATTATCTTATGACCCAGCAATTCTACTTCTGGATATTTATCCAAAGAAAACCAAAACACTAATTTGAAAAGATATATGCACCCATATGTTTACTGCAGTGCTATTTACAATATCCAAGATATGGAAGCAACTTAAATGCCCATCAACAGATGAATGGATAAAGAAGTAGTACATATATACAATGAAATATTACTCAGGCATAAAATAATGAAATCTTACCATTTGTGACAACATGGGTGGACCTAGAGGGTATCATTATGCTAAGTAAAATAAGTCAAACAGAGAAAGACAAATATCATATGATTTCACTTATAATTAGAATCTAAGGAACCAAATAAATGAACAAACAAAATGAAAACAGACTCATAGATACTCACTCATAGATACAGAGAACAAGCTAGCGATTGCCAGATGGGAGAGGGAGTTTGGGGCTGGGTGAAAAATGTGAAGAGTACAAATTGGTAGTTACAAAATAGTCACAGTGATATAAAATATAGCATGAGGAATATAGTCAAAAATATTGTAATAACTATGTATAGTGCCTGGTGGGTACTAGACTAATCAGAGAGACCACTTCGTAAATTATATAAATGTTTAACCACTATGCTATACACCTGAAACTAATATAAAATATTGAACATCAACTCTAATTGAAAAAAAATTTTAATTTCTTAGAAGAAAACATAGAGACAAATTTTCATGACATTGATTCTTTAAAAATACACCAAAAGCACAAATGAAACAAAATAGATGAATTTGACTTCATCACAATTTAAGACTTTTGTGCACCTAAGGACAGAATCAAAAAAATGAAAAGACAACCCACAGAATGGAAGACAATAACTACAAATTATATATCTATAAAAGTCTAGTATCCAGAATATACAGAGAACTCTTACAATTCAACAACGAAAAGACCACCAATTAAAAAATGGCAAAGAACTTTAGACATTTCTTCAAAGACATACAAGTGGACAACAAGCACATGAAAAGATGCTCAAAGATATTAGTCATTAGGAAATATCCAAATCAAAACCACAATAAGGTACCACTTCATACCCATTAGAATGGCTATTTTTTTAAAGGAAAAAAACAAGTATTGCTGGTCAGAATACGAAACACGGCAGCTCCTTTGGAAAACAGCTTTGCAGTTCTTCAATATGTTAAACACAGAATTACTAATTGAATCAGCAATTCCACCCCTAAGTATATAGCAAAAAAAAAAAAAAATTGAAAGCAGGTGTTCTTGTAGACATTCACAGCAGCTCTATGGCCAAAGAGTGGAAACAACTAAAATGTCCATCAACAGATGCATGGATAAACAAAATGTAGTATTTCCATACAGTGAAATATTTATTATTCAGCTATAAAAAATGAATTACTAAACACGCTACAATGTGGATGAACCTTGAAAATATTATGCTTAGTGAAAGAAGCCAAACACAAAAGCCCACAAATATTGTATGAGTTCATTTATATGAAACATCCAGAATAGGCAAACTATAGAGAAAGATTATGGGTTGCCAAGGGCTGGGTGGAGGGGTAAATAAGGAATGTCTGCTTAATGGGTATGAGGAATGCACTTGGGATGATGAAAAATTTTGGAATAGATAGTGATAATGGCTGCACAGCATTGTGAATTGTATACTTTAAAATGGTTACAACGGTAATTTAAAAAAGGGAGAAAGAGTAAGAACATTATTTCATACAATATTAAATAAGGACTAAGTTAGTTAAATTGAAGGAGATAACCTTTGCAAAGTGCCTAGAACAGTACCTGGCATGTAGTAAGTGCTACATTGTTTAGAGAGAGAAAAGGAAAGGGGTGGCAGCATCAACACTTGGAAGTGGAGGGAGAAATGATGAAACAGAGTGGAAAGGCTTACCAGCCTTTTCTAAAGAGGTTGGCCAGCAACCTTTAACTCTGTTCACTACCTATAGGCAAATCTTCTATGAAACACAAAGAACTCCTAATGGCCCCCAGAACTTGGCAGTCTCCTTGGGGAGCCAACTCAAGGGCCCTCTAGAATCTCATTGGAGCAAGATTCAGTTTGGACAGATATGGGGCACCATTCAAACACTGGGCCCTCTGACACTAAAAAAAGGAAATAATATTGTTCTGCACACTATCTAGGAAATTCTAACCCACTTGCAGACAGAAAGCCTAAAAGATACATAGCAAGCTCTCATACCTGACTCCTGGCCTCTGGAGATGGTCCCCCTCATTCTTCACGATGGAAGACTTCCAGCTATTGACCTGTGGTACCTTCCCTATACATCCCCAGCTTTATCTCACTCTGTTTCTTCCCTCCTCCACTGGAGCCACGTCAGTCTTCTCCAGACCCTCACACACACTGTGCTCCTCCCACCACTCAGCTGGTACCTATGCTATTCCCTCCAGCTGGAATCTTTCCTCCCTGCTTTGCCTGGTTAAATCCAACACACTCAGATCTCAAGTCATAGAATAAATGCTCATTCAGCAATGTGCCTGTCTCTGGTAGTGTCTGTCATTTGTCTGTGTGACTTTTATTAAAGTCTGTCTCCACTATTAAGTTCCTGATGGCCAGGCACCAAGAAACAAGGACCAGGGGTCTCTGGGTTCCTCCCTCCCTCTCCTTACCCATATGCTTACCATCATTGATCCTCCCAGCCAAGGACTCCGCACTGAAACCAGCAAAGATGACTGTGTGGACAGCTCCAATCCTGGCACAGGCCAGCATTGCAGCCACAGCCAGTGGGGACACAGGCATGTAGATGGCCACACGGTCCCCTCGACAGACTCCATGCCTCTTCAACAAGTTGGCCAGGCGGCACGTGGTCTCCAACAGTTCCCTGTAGCACAGAGAAGAGAAGGGTATCAGAAATGGAGAAGACCCAAAATGCAAAAAAAATTGGAGTAGAACAATTCTGCAAACTGTAAGTACTGTACATCCAGTCAGTACCTGGAGGATAGCAGACAATCAAATACTTATCACTAGGTAAGTTCTTTTCCAGAAGACAATGCTTTAAACCAGTCTTGGTATTAACAAAGATTCATTGTCATGCTACTGAGGTAAAATGACTGTCCTCACATCCATTTAGAGCAGGGCTTCTCAAAGACTCCAAATATCCAAAGCCTAGATTGTCATATCCCTGAGATTTCTGAAAATGTTCACCTCCAAAATGAAGATTTCATAAGTAAGACAGTTAGTAGAAAAAAGCGAAGCCCCAGTTTTCTAAATCAACACAGGCCAGTGGCACCAAGCAAGGCTCTTACCAGGCAGGGCCCAGGCTCATTCAGCAGACCCCAACTCTGTGAGCCCAGTGAGTCAGGAGAAAAGGTGCACCACAAGAAAGTCACCCTCTACGCAGCCCCGAGGCAGGGTTGGTGGGTAGTGAAAGCACCCCATTTTCCTCCATGCTAGGTGCTGAATGGGTGCAGTGGAATGGAGTAGACCTGCACCAGGGGTCCACCACCCCTTGCCTCTCCCCTCATGTGAGCCTGCCCTCAACGCCTGGGCTTATCACAAGGCTCAGCCTGCTATCTCCCTGAACAAGCTGATTGGCTTAGGGGTTGGCACATGACCCAACCCAGCCCAATCAGAAGTCAACTCTGTGAGCTGCCTTCTTGTCTGGAGTGGAGCAGGCAGTGAAGAAAAGCAGCTGAAAGGGCAGAAGTAAGTTGAAGGCTCTTTTCAACCTTGTTTCGACACCTGGTCCAGCCGAACCTGTACTTTGCAAATAACCATTTTCCCATTTTTGCTGTACATAGTTTGACTTTATTATTTCATGAAAAGAACTAATACAGAAGGACAGAATAAAGGGAAATCAAGGCCCTCCACTCTATGGTTGAGAGAGGCCACTAGCGGGGCCAAACCCCTGTCCTCTGTAGTGTTCTAAGAGGCACTTGGTGGGAAGCTGCAGCTTTGTCAGACTAGCAGTGGGCCAGAGGTCAGACTCTTTCAAGCTCTGCAAGGCCTCTTACAAGCATGTTTGCCTAGTTCCCCTCTGTTCAAAGGGCCATGAAGGAAAGGGCTTCAGAGTAAGAAAGGCAAAGCTCAACAAAAGGCTGCCCAGGAAAATGCAGTGGAATGGAAATGAAAGTTCCCTATCTCAGGCAGGAACCTCAAAGGGAACTTTGTTTCTTCCCAAAGCCACAGTGCAAGAAGACCAGGTGAAAACTAGATCACAAGCCCAGCCTACACTTCGTCCCACCACGGCTGGCAACTCCTGCCCAGCCTGGCTCCAGTGCGCCTATTCTGCAGGATTTCATCTTTTCTCCGTAAAGCTTTCAGAAGGATGGCAAAGGTACTTCATCCACTATTTGCTTAAGTTTATTATGAAAGAAAGAGCTCCTTCCCAATATCCTCCAGCACCAACTCCCCAGAATCCAAGGGCCAGAAACATTCCACTACTGCAGAGGATGAGGTGGGGACGGGCTGTGACAGTGCTGAAGAGGCAGCTACAGTCAATGACGCAAAAGAGTAACTTGAGTCCAATTCAGACACCACCTTCATGGCTCTAAAGACTTAAGCCTCTGGACAGTGCACCGGTAGATGGAGACTTGAGTGTGTATCACAGATCAATGGTGATGAAATCCAGTCATTCTGCAGACCAAAGGAAGCAGTTTGAATTTAAGGAATGAATGTGAACTGTCCCAACAGAGAGGCCTGGGTTAGCTTTCTATAGCAGCTGCACACAATCATCTGAGAAACAACAGGCAACACCACCTTGTGTAACTATCACAGGTATTAATGAGAAGTGTCACCCACCTGGGACCCTGCCGAACATTCAGTAGTTATTATCTTTCCCAGTAGATATCTTTGTTTGAAATCATTTTCTAAAATGACTAAAATCAGCTAACTCACTTTAGTGAATTCCTAAAATGTTAAAAATTCCATTCTAGGTATCATGGGGGGAATGGGGCATTAGACAAAGGAAATAAGAGGGAATGTTTCCTCCAAGAGCACAGCTCTGACTGGAGAAATGAAGGCACATGCATGAGAGTGTGAAGGATATTTATCATCTCAGCTTGGTGGTATATCGCTGAGGGCAGTAGAGAGAGCTTTTTGGAAAGGTTGGTCATAGGGAGGAGGAGCAAAGCAGCAAAGGAGGAAGGAATGAGTGAATTTTCTCTACAGGGACAGAAGTTTCCTGACAGTTGATGTATAGCCCTGGGGGAGAATCTAGAGACCAAACTAAGACAACCCACGTGTTCCCTGGAGGGTCAAGGGGACTCTACATGTGCCCCAGAGCTACAGCTGGGTCTGAGAGTGCCACATCCCTGCTGCTGCATCCAGAGAAGAAATTCTGATAAAGAATTGGACCCAGATTTTAAAAAACATGGTAGAATGAAAGATGTCCTCAGATCTCTCACCTTGAAACAACAATAAGCTGAACATCTAAAACTCAACAAAAACACCCAAACTGCACACCAGCACATCTGAGCGTGAAATCTGCGCATGAGAGCTACCACAGGTCAGAACCCCAGGAGTCAGGCGGTGAACTGGGAGAAACATAGAAGCTGCCTCCCGCAGACGCTGGAGCTCCCTACAGGAAGAGAGGAAGGGATGAAGGTGCGGCGACTTCCTTGAACAGCCCTGCATGGAAGTGCTGTGAGTTCCACGCATCCAGCAGCAGGGCCCAGTCATCAGGGCAGAAAGTAGAGAAGCGAGACAGGACCGCAGAGAAACAACAGTTGATTTTTACCAGCCGCGGTTGCAAAACGGAGGCTGAGCCGCAGACCCCATCTCCCAACCCAGACGGCGCCTCCCCCATATCCTCTGAGAACAAACACCGCGGAGCCCCAGGGGAATCTGAGCACACCCTGCCAAGACCGAAGCTACCTCTTGCAGCCTCTGAAGCTCCCTGCAGGAGAATGCT